TTGAAAATACATAATCAATGACTTAGAATTTGATCAAAATATTAAGGAAGTATAACATTAGTTATTTTTTATTGCAAAACTCAGAAGGGAAGACCATTTAAGATGGTTGAATTAAAAATTCTTAAAGTGGTTAACAAACTGGGTATAAAAGATGTAAGAGCTACTGAAGTGGTTGATGAGAATAAAAAGTATTCTTTTAATATAAAAACATGCTAAAGAAATTTTTGACCATCTAATATATGGGAGGAAATCAAATTATTTGATAATCATACAATCCCTACCATTGATTAGATTAAGAGAAATAAGTATTGCAAATAGCTTAACTAATTGAGAAATCATAATAATAGTTATGTTATCTTTAGAAGCCTAATTTTTTACACATTACAAGTTTGTCATATTTGCTTCTAAAAACAAGAAAATGGAGTATGATAACTCATTCTTTAAATTAATAACAATGGCTACCTCTAAACCAAAAAGGACTGTAAATCATAATAATAGTTATGTTATCTTTAAAAGCCTAATTTTTTACACATTACAAGCTTGTCATATTTGCTTTTAAAAAAAGAAAAGAAAATGGAGTATGATAACCCATTCTTTAAATTAATAACAATGACTACCTCTAAACCAAAAAGAACTATTTAGTAAAGGAAATTATAAAAGTAAGACTTAATTAAGAAGATATAAGCTAGAAATGTTCACAAGTACTTTCGTAGAAAAAAGATACATCGATTATGACAAGGCTAGGTAGGTACTAAAAATTTAAGAAATACCTTATTATGAGGTATAGAAGTGTTTACCTATCATGCCATTATTTATGAAAGGAAAGACTTAAGGAAAAAGCTTAGAAAATTATGAATCAAACACAAGCCAAAACATTTAAACCTAAGAGACTAGCTTATTATGAGTGATATAAACGTTATCCATAATAGAAATCATCTAAACCTAGTTATAAGGAGGATAGTGAGATTATTAGAAATTACTAGCATTTTCTAGACATAAAAATATATGGAAATAAGGATAGTTATCCAAATCTTAATTTAGGAGAATGTAATGCCTAAATACATTAGTAAAAAAAGATGATTCAAAACCATATAGCTTGCTCGAGAAACAAGTTTTTTGATGTAGAATAAAATTAGACTTCCCTCAATTCAATATAGAGGATCTCATGGGCTAAGTGTGTAAGTCTAATCATTATTTTAATTACCATAATACTTATCCTTAATATAGGTTGTTCATGGCAAGTTTTTATATGGAAAAAAAGTCATTGTTTAGTTTCAAGAGATAAAAGAACCATGAACTATCACCAATTAAGAGTCATTTACTAATGCTATATAAATTAGGTGTAAGCCCTTTTTATTATGATAATCCTATGAAGGCTCTTATTAATCTAAAACATAATTTCTCATTTGAGGATCATAAAAATTAGTTTTAGTTAATCTCTAATAGAGCTAGGGGATTATCAGAATCATATAGACTAAGAAGTATTTTAGAAAGACTCAAAAAGAAAATCAAGATTGGTGTGCATATGTTAAATCAACAAAACTAGTGGCACTGTACAACTCAACTAGAATGCAAAAAGAAAGTTTAATTGTCATCTAGAAGAGTTAAAAGCCTAGCAATGAGGGTTCTTGTGAGAAATTCTTTCTAACCATCTAGCCTAAAGAGAAAACAATGTCTAACTTACCCTTTAAAAAGTTGATCCTAACCTAGTTCAAAAAGAAGAAGGAAAAGGGCATGTGTTTTAAATGTAATGGCAAGTGGAGTCTAGGCCATGGATTTAGAGACCTAAAGTTATATGTCATTAAAGAAGTGGATGAAAATGAGAAGGAAGGAGTTGTAGAGGATATAAGAAACTTAATTTATTTAGAGCCCTCCTCTTGACTACAAAGAAGAAGATTAAAGGTTGATATGATCATCAATAATTCTATAATGATGATATTGATTGATATTAGAAACACACATAACTTTATTCATCCTATATTTTTCATAAAGGTTAGGTTTAGATTGATAACACATAAACTATAAGAGTAAAAATAGCTAATGGAATGAGAATACAAAGTAAAGGCAATTATTTTAAATTTAAGTTTGGTATATAAGAATACCAATTTCATGCCCATGCCCCATGATTTAGCTCAGAGGTTGTGATATGGTGTTAGGAGTCTAATGGTTTTAAATATTAGATCATTTTCTATTGGATTTTTTAAGATAAACTATAAAATTTAAGTTACATAGGCTGAAGGTTGAGTTAAGAGAATTAAAAGTTTAGAGTCAAAAATTGATTAAGGGTCAGGGTTTTTTGAATTAAGGAGAAAGGTAAAGAGGTTAATCCTTTATACTAAAGAAATTGAGACTAAGCCTAAGCCTAGTGAAGAGGAGCAAACATAGGTTTAAGAATGGCTTCAAAGAATTGACATAGTTTTTCAAAAACCTAAAGGATTACCATTAACTATGAATCATGATCATCCATTCCTATCACTATAAAACCATAACATTACTCTAATCACCAAAAATATAAATTAAGAAGATTGTGAAGGATTTACTAGAGTTAGGAACAATTCAACACAGTCAAAGACCTTTGTCTTCCCTTATTCTACTAGTTAGAAAGTTAGATGAATCCTAGAGAATATATGTAAACTATTGAGCACTTAGAAAATAAATTATAAAGGATAAATTTCTTATTCTAGTGGTGAAAGAGTTGTTAGATGAATTATAAGGGTCATAATACTTTTTTAAATTGAAATTAAGATTGGGATAGCTTCAATTTAGAATAAGATTAGAAAATGTCTAGAAAACTACATTCAAAACTCATAAAGGTTATTATGAGTTCCTAATTATACCCTTTAGGCTAACATATGCTCCATCTATTTTTCAAGGGCTCATGAATGAGATATTTAAATTATTTATAAGAAAATTTATTCGAGTTTTTTTATGACATATTAGTCTACTGTACGAAAGAAGTGGACCACTTAAAACACTTATAAATTATTTAAGCTATACTTGTTCAATATAAACTTTTTACAAAATGTGTATATAAATGTATATTTACTTGTATAGAGACAGAATACTTAGATTATGTGGTTTCAAGAGAAGGGGCTAAGCTTAACCTAGATAAAATGGAGATCATAGTCGGATGGCCTAAACCTAGTAACATTAAGGTCATAAAGTGTTTTTTAGGCTTGACTGGTTGTCATACAAGGTTCATCAAAGGATATACATTGTCTAAAGCCCACTAACTAGAATACTTGGATAAAAGGATTTTAAGAGGGATAATATGGCTAGAAAAACCTTTATTAATTTTTAAAATGTGGTAAACTAACTACTAGTATTGGCATTACTTGTTTTTATCAAAACATTTTTAATTAAGCGTGATGCTTCAAAGGAGGGTATTGAGGCAATCTTAATATAAGAGGGGAGACTTATTCCGTATGATAGTAAATGCTTTAAAGAAAAGAAAATAGTCTTATCAATATATGAAAATGAATTGTTGGTGATTATGTTGGCTGTTAAAAACTAAAGACCTCACCTACTAGGACAACCATTTAGATAGATCAACAAAACCTAATGTATCTTATTGAACAAAAAATTGGTACACATACTTAACAAATATGGATATCTAAACTTCTTATGTATGATTTTATCATTAAATAATACATGGCTAGAAAAAAGAATTTAGTCAGTAATGCCAAGAAAGCTTAATGAACCAATTGTGAGGAGGATGATACCAAGGATCCTTTAGATACTAGGTTAAGATAAAGATTTTAATATATAAAGAAATATTAGTAGGGAGTGCACTTTTAAACCATTTATTTTACTATACAAAGGAATGATTTATATTAGTTGGTCATGGTCTTTTATTTTTATGGACTTTAGTAAAAGATTGTCATATTCCAATAATACTTTATTATTTTGATATTAGTGGATAGATTTTCTAAGCATGCTCACTTTATATGCATAATTTATCTATACACTGCAATTAAGGTAGTGAAGTCTTCTCCTAAAATATTTTTAGCTCACAAGGGTTATTTAAAACAATCTTTACTAACAATAACCCTACATTCACCAATAAATTTTGGTAGGAGTTATTTAGAGTATTTGGAGTCCAACTATATTTATCTACATCCTATCACCCCCAAATATATAGGAAAGTTAAAGTTACTAATAAAACCCAAAAATGGTATTCTTGTTGTTTTGTAAGTGAAAATCCTAGAAGTTGGTCATAGTGATTACCTATGGTAGAGTTATGGTACAACATTAATCATCATTCATTTATCAATGCTACCCTATTTGATGTTTTATCTGGATATCCCCACCTAGTCTAATTATATACCTTATTCTACTATATGTATAGACAAAATAGAAAGTCTTTCACGTTAAAGTGGACTGAAACCAAATGATTCGGACCAATGCAAAATTTTATTCTTTGTTTCACTTAATTTTTCAAGCTTTATACAATGAACTATTAAATGAAAGTTATGATTAATTTATAGATACCAAAATCAAACTATTATTTTAGAATAGCCTGATATATTGTTCAACCTTCAAAGATCAAGCCCTATGTTGTTCTTCTTCTCCATCCATCAATAAAATAATGATTGTTTGGTTGGCAACCTGAATAGTCATTATTTACATTATTAAAGGTAAATAATAAATTCTTACCCAAAATGGATTTATGTATAGTTTTAATTTGGATGGTTGTTCAAAGCCTTTAATCTTTATCAGAACCATAATATTCTTGTCAAAATACCATGACCACTCCTTTATCATAATATTCTTATCTCTTTCATTATTAAAATTGAAAACAACAAGATTTTTGTCAATTTTTATTTGCCTAAATACCCTTTCCAAGGTTCCATATTTTTTTTATAGTTTAAATTAAAGTGGTTGAGTTAAAAGACTTATAGTTCAAAGACCATCTACCATACTTAAAATGACATTTGACTTTTACAGAAAAATATATCTTAAGTTCTTCTTTTTCATCACTAATGACCCAAGACTTTTCTCTAATCCCCTCCTTTTTGTTCTTCATTATTGAACAAGTAATCTATAAACCTTAACACAATATTGATAAAACCATATGCACAGACAATTTAAAAACCCAAAACCTCAGGATATGAATAACTTTCAAAAAAAAAATACAAAGACTCTTACAAAATTAGTACAAGGGAAACTTAAGGTAAATCTAAAATGACACAAGTTTCTCTTGAAAAATCATTTAGAATGATCTTTATGTATAATAAAATACCATCAATTCCATAAAACTATATAGCAAATATAATTTTTCATTAAAGATATTCATTAAATCTAAACATAATACTCTAATTTTATTTATGTTGTTATCAACATATATAATATATATTTAATAGTTATTATTTATATAAATATAATATATATTTAATAGTTATTATTTATAATAGTTATTATTTATATAAATATTTAAAAATTATAATATTTTAATGATAATAATAATTACTATATAGATTTCATGTAGTGTTTAATAAGAATAAAAACTAGAGTTCTCAAGCTCTAAAGTTAGAGATTGAAACTAAAAACAAATAAAGAAAAACTTTAATATTTTCTTAAAAAAAGTTGTCATAATAATTTGAAAAAAAAAAAAATAACACTCCAACTATTTAAATAGTGGTTTAAAACTAACCTAATTAAAGAATCCAAAGCATTTTTAAGCCTAATATGAAATGATCTGTATAATTATTGATTAGTGAAGTAGTTCACTTAATGAACCAGACCGATAGAATCATCTTGTAAAATATGAGCATAATCTAATAGTTGGATCTAAAGTTATAAATATCTCCTCGATACTCTATTTTTAATGCATCTAGGTTCATTCACAAACTTGTTTCCTAGCTTAACTTTATCTACCTGGTCTAGTTCTCTCTACTTGCAAAAGACTCAACCTTAAATCAACTCTAATTTTTAGATATAAAGGTTTATCATCATAATAAATAATATCAAAAACATTTAACATTTTGGAAATACCCATATCAACCGGTAAATCAATAACATAAGTATTTTCATTCATCTTTTTTAAGACATTACAAATACCATATTTCTTCTACTATAGCTTGTTATACAACCCTAGTTGAAATCTATTTTTATGTAGAAATGTCATCATTTTATCTCCTTTATTGAACATTATAATAAGGTGGTGTCTATTAGTAGCCTTTTTGTACTTAGTATTAGTTTTTAGCAACTTATGCCTTATATCTTCCACTATAGCTTTCATATCCATAACAGTTTTATTGGTAGCAACTTTAACTTCAACAACTTTCTAAACTAGTATGAGATCTAGCACATGCCTAGGACACTATAAATATATAATTTTGAATAGTGATTTATTAGTAGTATTATGATTAATACTATTGTATGTGAATTTTGGTTGTATAATATCATAATCTCACTCTTTTGGTTTGTCACCAGAAATGCTTATTATTAAGTTTTTAAATGTTCAATGCAACAACTTTGTTTCTTGTCAATATGTGGATTTGCTATACTATTGAGTTATAATAATGAATCATACATCCTCCATAACATACATAAAAAAAAAAGGACTTAGAAACTTACCATCTTAATTAGAAGCTATTGCCTCATACATCACAATGACCATACTTCTTTTTTTTTCTAGGAAATGAAACATCTTTTTTATGTTATGAGGGGGGAAAGGTGTGTTTTATAAAGAAGTTATTACTTAGTATTAAAGTCACGAGGCAACCTAACTAATTTACAACGTTTTATTGTAAGTAGACTGATTATGCTAAAACAAAGATACTATCACTATAAAGCATCTTACTTAAGGTAAATTGCATTACTATTTGTATTTTATTTTTAATGGTTTGTTATACCTAATCTTCTAGTGGTCTATCTATATGGTGTGAATAGGTCTACTACAATAAGTTAAATCCTGTTGCGATGTCGTGGTCGCACAAATTAATTACCCTAGCTTAAAACACAACACACAAGATAGTATAGAGCAAGCAAGGGGTCGATCCCACAAGGAAGATTTAGTTCAGATTTTTATGCTATACGTTATGCAATTGGGGGGTTTTGATTTGTGATGATCTAAACTATGGAAGAAATTAAACTAGCAAACAAAATCAATTGAAATCGAAATTTATCAAGAAAACAAACCTTGGTTGCAAGCACACATCCACCAATTCGCCAGGTGTGCCATTCGCCGTTTCCAAGACTTGGAGGCCTCTACATGATCCAGCTTCTTACTCGAGTCAATCAGATCGTCATTTCCAGTGGCTTCAAAACTGTTCTTCGAAGGGCTTCCTTCTGATGAATCTTGGATTATCTGTTCCAAGGTCTCCGCCACCTGACTCATCTTTGGTCGATCTTTTGCGCTCTTTAACAAACAACTGTCTGCTAACCTGGCAATCCTCCGAGCTGCACTCATAGAATACTGGTTTTCAAGTCTTGGATCCATTATCAAACCAAACTTTTTACTATCAGCAGGGAACTGCTTTACCCATTCCAATAACTTCTGCTCCACTTTCGGCCTGTTTCTTTCCAACGATCGCCTGCCAGTAAGAATCTCATATAGTACCACACCGAAGCTCCAAACATCACTTCTGGCTGTGAGATGCCCTGTCTCAATGTAATCTGGCGCAGCATATCCATATGTCCCAACTACCTGTCAGCATAAAAAGAATCCCATGAGAAGGATGCAGTCGGCATCTAATGCAACAAACAAATGTTCATGATACTTACTGCTGTTGAGACATGCGTTCGTCCAGCCATTGGTCCCTCCCTAGCAAGCCCAAAGTCTGAAAGCTTCGGTTTCAAATCTTCATCTAATAACACATTGGAAGTCTTGAAATCTCGATATATAACCTGCAACATCAATTGCGAAAAGGAAGTAGAAAAAGGTAAAAAATCGAAGCACAAACTAAAATCCAGAGGACCTGAACATGACATATTGCATGCCAAGTAGTGAATATGACAGATTAGATGAATATTTAACTAACACCATTACTTATGGGCAGAATCCAAGGACACTGAACTACAGATTTAGACAGAAGGAACCTGTTATCAAAAGTTTTAATGTTGCAACACTTGTTGCTTCATTCTTCTTACTGTTGTAAAAGGTACCGAACTACAATCAAGCCACGGGAATCACATGATTTCAGTTCATAAGAAAGGTTCTTCTCTAAGATTTTCTAGCACAGGTCAAATTCAGATGCCATAAAGCCTCGTAAAAGGAGGTTGATCCACCGGAGAGAGATTATAAGGTTCATTAACCAAAGTTCAGTCCTCTGGAAATTCTATGAAGGAACCTACAAGGGCTCTCTGTTTGTATTCCCATAAACAGCACTGATATATGCAGATGCGCGTGCGCACAATTACTTATCAAACATGTTTTAGACGAGAACCTGAACTTCCAACCCTTCATGTAGAAAAGCTAATCCTTGAGCTGCTCCAAGTATTATTTGTAATCTTGTCTTCCAGGGAAGCACAGGATATGCCTTGTTGAAAAGATGATCGTCTAAACTTTTGTTTCGCATAAACTCATACACAAGAAGTCTCTGGATACCTCTTTCGCCATCCACGGCACAGTATCCTAAAAGTTTGACAAGATTTGGATGCTCCAGAACACCAAGAAATTGAACTTCGGTCACCCATTGTTTATGACCCTATGAGAAACAGAAAAAATGAATAAGCAGTCACCACTTGAAGAATGAACTTATAAAAGATGGTTACCAGAACATTAAAGTGAAATTTGAACTCAAGATGGACTTGTCACTAATATTCAATCCAATTGCATATATAATCTTATGCAAACTCCCAGGCTTAAAAGTCATACCTGGAAGCCATCTCCGTTAAGCTTCTTAATTGCAACAGCAATAGGGTCACCTTCTCCGTCAGCAGGCTTGATTGAACCTTTATAGACATTACCAAATCCACCTTCCCCAATCTTAAACAGCCTACTGAAACCATTAGTTGCATTTCTGAGCTCTGAGAAAGAAAAGACTCTCAGATTATGAGCCTTCTCTTCATACATTTCTGATATACCTCTCTGTGAATTTTCTGAGCATGAAGAATTGATCATCCCATCAGTAGTGCATGAAGAATCGTCGGTCTTCGTTGTACTCCTCTGTTTCAATTCCGGTGCTGATCTTTGTCCCCTGCTTCTTGATTTGTCCTTAAAGTAGTACTGAAAACACTTCATTTTTTTTATTTTTTTTTGCAAAGTTTTTTTTTTTTTTGCAAACTTGAATGAGTAGAACTAGTGGTAGGGATCTCGTTCAAATGCCAAATTTTTTGCCTGCCTTCAAAAGCTGATCTTGAAAGCACAGAGAACAAAATTCACACGATCAAGAAAAAAGGTATCAGCAAAGCTCCAAACTTCAGAACATCGACATGATATCAGAGTGAGATTGAGTAAATCCAGACAACCAATAAAAAGATTCACAACAACAAATGAAAACACACAAAAAATGGTCAAAACTTAAAATAACGCGAACCAAAATAAGAAACAAGAAAACATGGGGAGAGAAGAGAAATTGGGAGGTTTCACGCATGAAGACAGCATATGGAGTAAAAAGAAGTAAAAAGAGAAAACTAGAGATATAGACATGCAGATATTCAAATACTTTTACCAAATAATAGAGGTAGGACAGACTTCCATGGATTACTTTTCTTGCTTTGCTTCTATTCCTTTTGTTGAATAAAGAAGCCTCTTTTGGCTTCTCTTTTCCTCTCGATTTTGGTAAACCATGGAGAAGCTTCGATGAAACTTCAGAGCCAATAGGGTTTCAAAAAGATGAAAACTTTCTTCTACGTTTTGTATCTGTTGGTAACGCTTTGAATTCTGAACCCTGAGAACTACTTTTAGTTTCAGGCAAAAAGCTTGCTCAGATTGACCTGTCTGGATTTCTATACACACACAACTATGTATGGGGTCCAAACTGAATTATTAAGTTAATGGGCATCCCTTTAATGGTCAAAAGCCTGGTTAATCAACAACTTCTGGTTAAAAACAAAAACTTAAAAAAAAATGGATCCTTGTATTATGTGTCCTAATTCGATTCGAAAAGGATTTGTTTTTAATGGAAAGAGTTAGCGAGATTAGAATAAAAAATTGCTAACAACTATCAAGAATATTCGAAAATCTGTTTTATCTTAAATATAAGGTTGTGTACATCTTCAAGGAGACTTTCTGCTCGTTGAGATTTAAGATCTTTATGAAGAGAATTGGAACCCATAAATCTTCAAAGGGATGGAGTGAGAATTCAAGAATGAAAGAACAAAGACAATCGGCACATATAAGGCAAAAATGAAAATAATGGAATTAGTTTTTTTCATTTTTCTCTTATGAATAGTTTTCCAAGCTTTTAAGTTCTTTACGCAATTGCATTCGTGTGATATGTTTTTTAAAAATATATTGAAATAATTTTTTTATATTTTTAATATTGCATGAAAAAATCATAAAAAAAATCTAAAAATATTAATTTGATTTTTTTAAATAAAATTTGAAAAGTATTTTGTTGGGACTAAAAGAAACAATTGGCACCATGAATCAATTAAATGGGTATGAAACAATTTTACCTTCAAAACCACCAAATTAACCATCCAGGGAAAATCTTCCAGTTGGGAAGTGACAATGGACAAGAGAGACTTAATGAGGTCATTCTGTAAGAAAAACTTCAAATTAAATATTTAGTTTTGAAAAAATAACAAAGTAAAGATAGAAGGTGTGGACTTTAAACCTCGATTTCACCTACTTTTTTGTAAGATATACCTGGAACACGTCCATGCGAGTTGGAAGTATTCGAGTTCTGTCACTGTTAAGAAAATGTCGAGAGCCCGTTAGATAGCATGAGATTGACTAGAGATTCCTCAAGCAACAGACAGAACTGACAGCATCTAAGTGTCCCCATGCCCATGGTCAACAACGTTTCTTGCTGGCAGGGCACTGCTAAATTATGCATGAAGTCTTTTTCTATTAATTATGCTGATCGAGTTGACAATTTAGCTCCATAGGCACCAGAAGTTTTTTTCTTAGAAAAAAAGAAGCAAGACCCTTCACGAAATGTATGGCTCATCTCTCTCCGGTGAAGAGGATATAAGCTCGATGTTACTCTTGCAGAGAGAAAAGGATGAGGTAATTCGGCAAAGCCGATTGAATATCTTATAGAACTGAACCAATAAAATTTCTTAGTCAAATTTTAATGCGATAGAATAAACAAATAGAAAATCATGGTTTTTTTTCATTTACCTAGTTGTCTAACATTTTTACAATGTAGTCCCTGCGTTTGAGTGTTGATTTTCCAATTAACTCATCTTTATCTACTCTCTCTGCTGTTCCAACTAAGATCCGTCTCTCTTCATTATGCCCACCCACGAGATTCAAATCATCGATAGAAATAAAAACCCTAGCAATAATGGATTCAACAAACTTGAGTTTAGATTTCTCGTTTCTCATAAGTGGATTCGACTAGAAGGAAATAAATGTTGCTGGGCCATCGTGATGATTGTAGAGATTTTCTTGGTATGTCGTGAATGTTTGAGGAGAGAAGGCAGTGGTCATTGTAGTTGTTGTTGTGGGTGCACCAAGAAGTGGGATTGGGCGTGGAGTTGACGATGAATTGAGATAGCGTGGGTGGCAGCGGTTTCGTAGGTGTTCGAAGACGGTGGCTCCCTGGGTCTTGTCATTTTGACCACTTTAAGTTTATGAGTAAGTTAATCGGAGAAGGGAAAAACTCATGTATTATTGGATTGCGATTATCTGAGCATCGCTAGATTTATTGGCAAAAAAAAAAAATAACATGAAAAAAATATCTAGATGCTATCAATTTTTATTTAAAAAAAAACGTTTTTATAAAACCATGTGAATGTGGGGATTGATTAATTTTAAATAAATAATAAAAATATAATTTCATTTAAAAATAAATATTTAGGATGATATATGTTTTATAAATATCAAGATGACAATATATCTAATTAATTTATGTCAACTTGAGTTAACTTGTCAATTTATATATTGAAATATGAGATTATAATAATTTCATATAAAGTAAATCAAAATATTTTATGAAACCTAATTTTCAATCAATTAAATATTGAATGATGAAATTTAAAAAAAAAAATCAACTAAAAAAAACTCAAGTCAATCGGCCCAACCCGCAACCTATGTCATAAGATTAAGATAATCACATGGAAAGCATATAAAAAAATATTATAAAGTACAACATAATCAAATCAATGCTGAATAATAAAATTAAAAAAATATATTTAATTAAAAAGTAATGCTGAATAATAAAATTAAAAAAAAATATTTAATTAAAAAATACCAAAAAAACCTGATCAACTTACTTACCCCGTAAAACTACAACTTATGTCATGATACTGTAATAACTTTATAGAAAATAAGTAAAACAAAAATTATAAAACTCAATTTTTAATCAACTTAATATTAAAGGATGAAGTTAAGAAACAAATAACTTTTTTTAAAAACATGATCAAGTTAACACATCTAACCTGTAAACCTCCTTACTTATGAGACCGTGATAACTTCATAAAAAATAAATTAAAAAGTTTAATATTTAATAAACCCAATATTAAAAAATAAAACTTAAAAAATAATAATAAGTTTAAAATTAAAAAAAAATCCTCAAAAATTTTCAAAACTAAAGTGAAATATATCTTGGTATTTAACTATGCATTGCTATTGTAAAATATTTGGCCCTCTATTATATTTTAATTTAATCTAGTTTATATAATATAAATATTAAGGAATGAAATTGTATTGACATAATATTTTTTTTTTCATTTGGAAGAATAAATTTTTTAAATATTCATTTTATCTTATCTTTTAATTTAGCGATTAATGATAATTAACGAACATAAAAATTGTTTTCACTAGTCCAACGGATCACACATGATCTGCCATTGTAATTATGAATCTTTTGCAAACGAAAGCGTAAGCACATTCGGTTTTATATATATATAGTCATACTTAGTGTTTTACATATATAAATAGAAAGATCAACTCTAGTAATACCTTTCCCTTTCATAATCCTCCTCGGCTGTCCTTGATGCGTGCAGGATTTAGTACCAAGTCGTTTATACCATGTCGAAAACTTGTTCTTCTTCTTAAGTTCTTTTTCTTTTCTTTTATTATTTTCCCCCTCCTTTTTGCTATGAACCCCCCCCAGTCAATAAATAGTATTTTTTTAATAAAAAAAGTAGCAGTAATAATTAATATCTTAAAAGGTATTTAAAAATATGATAATAATTAATATTCATATTTAAAATCTGTGAACTTGAGTTGTCCATGAAAGACTCATTAATTAATATTATATGGTGAGTTTTAGAGTTAATGTAAATTAATGGAAAGACAAACCATATCACTAGAGTTAATTTACTCTAGCTAAAAACTATCTTTTGTTAATAATTATTTGATGTATAGGACAAAAACCTCGACAAATGGAAGTAAACAAACAGGCACACATGAATCTAAGACCTACAAACACTAAAGGATAATTAGATCTGTTTGATATTTAGAACTAACCTTTAAAAAAAGAAAAACAAGAAGAAAAAGGAGTTGACTATTGAAAGTCACACGGAGGAGTTGAAAATTAGCTTTGTCTAAATCATTAGTCGATTGATTAAACTAATATTGGAAGCTTCATATAGGCAAGAAAATATGTTACGTGCCGATACTAATAGTGAACCCAATAAAGTTACATAAAATTCAAAACCTTCAACTTTTGGCTTATACATTTAACTTCGTGTTCATATTTTTTTTGTTTAATGGACAATATCTAACGTTCTTTATTGAGTTTCTTACCTCCCAAGCCTAGAATTAAGCAAATTAATATCATTTATGGTTTAATTTATAATATTATGAGTAGTTTATTTAGTGAAGTTTTAGATTTATTTTTTAATAATTATTAGTTATGAGTTCGAGTCGTTTTATTTATATTAAATAAAAAAATCATTTATGATTTGAACTTTGTTTAAATTGAATCTTTCAGCTACGTTGTGCATGAGATATGACTGAATTCATAAATTGTGTGCTTTGACATTTGCAGTCTTCCTAGACTGCTGACCGAACGCATTCATGGTCAGCGAAGTTGTCTCATTTGGAGGCCTTTCCTTCTTTTAACCCGCAGCAACTTCGTGCTGGCTAGTAGTTCCCTTCTGCCTCGATCATTTCAAATTCACTATATAAATGCCAGTCCCTCTTAACATAGTCAAGAAAGCACACAAGGAAACTGTAAGAAGATAACGTCTCACTTGCCTAGCTATACATACACAGATCAAGCAAAAGCCAAAACCCTTTTGAAACAACAAGATATATTCACTGAATTATCATGGCAGGTCTTATTAGAGAGCCAGTGAGGGTGGTGATAATCAACACGAAGTACGTGGAGACGGATGTTAGGAGCTTCAAGTCAGTGGTGCAAGAGTTCACCGGCAAAGACTCTGCACCTCCAGGAAATAGTGATCATAAGCATCTAAAGAGAACACTGTCAAGGAAATCGACATCAATGGACGAGATCAGGGATAAAAGGGTTCCGTTGGATGTTAGTGATAAGGTTTCATATGCTGGTGGTGATCAAGTTTTGATGAGAAATTTATC